TACGCACGATAATGTTCAGATTTTATTTTTGTGAATTTATTACACATAATTGTTGTCAGTAAGTCAATAATGGGAGATAAACGTAATAAAAAAATAATAAAAATAATATGTATGTATGTATACATGTATGCGAACATAATTCATACAATCAAGAGATATGAACAGTTTTTCCTTTTGCATTATCTAATTGGTATTTTCGATTAATTGGATACATATATTATATATCTAGCTAGAGTTTCCAATAGCTATTTTGATATTCACAGAAAAATGTAATATTATTTCATTAGAAAGAGGATAATAATGTCAGCCAAATGAACGCCACGTCTACGCGTACGGGACCGTATCTTTTTATGAACTTTTCCGTCACGAAATCGCTGCCGCGGTAGCCAAGCGGTTAGCATCGCGTACTGCCATTCGGAAGACCAGGGTTCAAATCCCCGTGAGACGAGCATTCAATAGAAAATTAATTGAAATAAAAAGTTTGTTAAATTTCTTAATAGCGATCATCCCTCGGCAAGGAATGTCAACTGACTTCTGATTTGAAATAAAGTTCCTTATAAAAAAAAACAAACCACCAGCCGCTTGAAGGCGGCTTAGTATAAGCTTAAGGTCCCTCCATTTGTTGGAAAAACATCAAGACGCAAAACCACGAATTGGAGGAGGTGCTGGGCCGAAAAATCGCTTCAGGGGGTTACAAAGCGCCAATTCTATTATATTGGTTGAGCGCATAAGTTCGTGCCTGATTCCGCTGGATGCCGTTCGAATCGTTTGAGAGTGGCGCTCGTGAAAGAAATATATACATATTATATATCGTTGGAAAGGTGACAGTCCGAACTGTGCATAAAATAACTTCATTTTGATTTGAGTTGCTTAGTGAAAAGACGCATGGAAGATCGACAATGAAAATATCATATGCGTCATATTATGTTATACGAATTCCGCAAAGGAAAAACAGTAGGCGCTGCAACTAAAGATATTCGCGAATTTTATTTGGACCGTGCTCCAGCACTCCGCACAGTAAGAAATGGTTCGCGAAATTTCGTTCTGGAGATTTTAACCTCGAAGATCAACCTCGCAGTGGACGGCCTTCTGCGCTTGATGACGATGTTCTAAGGACTTTAGTTGCGAATAACTCACGTATTTCGACGGAAGAGGTTGCCAGTGAATTGAACGTCAACAAATCAACTGCGTTTCGTCGTTTAAAAAAGGTTGCGTACACTTTGAAACTCGATACATGGGTGCCACATCAGTTGAGTGAAAAAAACAAAGTGGACCCTATGTCAACAGCAATTTCTTTGCTTCGACGGATCAAAAACGAACCTTTTTTGGATCGTCTCATGACTGGTGATGAAAAATCGATCCTGTACAACAATGTTCAACGCAAAAGAATATGGAAACAGGCACACGAAGGGACGGAACCGATGTCGAAAGGTGGATTGCATCCGATGAAGGTACTGCTGTGCATTTGGTGGGATATCCGAGGCGTGATCTATTTTGAGCTCTTGCCAGCTGGAGAAACGATCACTGCCAACAAGTATTGTCAGCAATTGGTCGAATTGAAGAAAGCAATTGATGAAAAACGTCCGATTTTGGCCAATCGCAAAGGAGTTCTTTTCCATCATGACAACGCCAGGCCACATGTTGCAAAACCGACCCTGGCCAAACTAAAGGAGATGAATTGGGAAATCATGCCGCATCCCCCATATTCACCCGACATTGCACCTTCTGATTATCATTTGTTTCGATCGCAGCAGAACAATTTGGAAAAAGATTTAAAAATGTGGAAGACGTCAAAAACCACCTTGACACCTTTTTCAACGAGAATCCGCGTGACTTCTATGAATCAGGCATTCGTAAATTGGTCGAAAGTTAGGAGTGGATTGCCGAACATGATTCAATTTTAGTTTGCACTTGAAATCGGGCAGGCACTTATGCACTCATCCAGTATATAAATCGCAAGGTGGCTGCTGTATGCCCTGAATACCTTTACGAGTTCCATCTTTCAGATTTTGGATCGACGTTGACACTTCGGCGTAGACCTTACCTCACACGTGATACTAAACGAAGATGTTGCAAATTGTTAAATTACAAGATCTCGGTGGGCCATTGGGTTCACCTCCGCGAGAGATAGCACGGAATCTTTCCCCTTAAAAATCGAAGGTTTCGTTGCTTGGGCGGCACCTAGCGCCGCCTTGTTGAAAGTAAATATTTTCCAGATCGATGCCATCTGGCCAAAAAAAATCATTAATCATCACTCGACCTTCGATAGCCCTTCGATAGAAACCTTGATTTTTCCAACACATTGGGCTACAGCAGCAATATACTGAGTAATAGTGTCTTCGGTGTACATTGTGTGAATTTTGTGGAGATGCCGATTATCCATTAGAGTTAATTTGCTATGAACCGAACCAGTATTGCCTCACTGAAAACCACTCGCCTAAACAATCACCCTTCATAATTTGTTCTATTTTTATTTATTGTTCTGAACTAAACTCGAATTCATTGTAGGTCGGACCAGGACTCTGACCTAGGCTTTGCCACCCTCTCGGCCTTTGCGACTTCCATCCATTTAATTTGGATTTATAATGCATAAATTTAGTTCCCTTTGGAAATTTGGAAAATTAACAAAATTCGTCCACCATACTGAGTGGAAAACTGACAAAAGTTCTCGTTGTAATGATAAATATTTGGAAAATTCTCTATTTTTTATATATGACGTATGCATGTATGTTGATAACAAAATATTTATGTATGCACATAAATAACAAGAAGAGAGTACTGGTCACAAAAGCAGATTATTTGCAACGCATTGCATTCTTCACCGGAGCTTTCTATGACTGCATGCAGCTAACATTCGTGTACGCTTGCTGAGTGGAGAATTTTACACAATGTTCTTCCAAGCATTCAAAATGGAGGAGATTTGTTACATTTATATGCTCATTCACTGGCAAAGTGTTGTACTAAAAAATACAAATAAAATAAAATATGTCAAAAAATAAATAAAAATATTTGTGGGGTACAAAGGAAGAAGGAAAACGCTTAAATGTTGACTTAAGCTTATACGAAGAGTGACATAAACTGCTGCACCGAATTGAGGTTAATATGCAATCCGTACTGGATTTTCATTTTTATTTATTTTTTTTTTTTTGTTGTGAATCAAATTCAGTGTCTCGAAGTTAAAGGGTCCTTAGTTAAATATGCTTCTTCTTGTTTTTTCTTCATTGGCTTTAGCACCGCTTACACGACTGTAACCAGTTCAGCAATAGCATTGTATTCGCTCCTTCCCTTCGCTGTTTGGTGCCAACTGAAAATACCGAGTCAAACTCCTTTGAAATCATTCCTCTTGTTTTGCTTCGACCAGCGGATACTGCACCGATTCAGTTGACATGGCCTAACCCGCGTTGTCGTTTTCTTTTAACGATCCGAACAATATCAATGTCATCGCATAACCCGTACAGCTCATCGGTCCATTGTCTGTAGTATTCGCCGTAGAACCTGCGCCAAGTACCAAAAGTCGTTCGCAAAACTTTTCTCTCGAATACACCCAAGGCCAACTCACAAAAAATTTCCACAGCATCGGCATCTCATAGCAGGAAGGGAATGATGAGGTACTGTAGAGTTTGATCTTTGCTCGTAAAGAGATGACTTTACATTTAAATTACATACTCAGCCCAAAGAAGCATCTACTGACATGGCTCGTTTACTTCCAGACCCATAAGCTCCTAATACCGACAGCGCGGTTGTTGATATCAATATCTTTGGCAGACGCCAGCCGTTGCTTTCTTTCGTCCTCTCAAAGGCTGCGTTAAAAACGATGGGAAGGTGGTATGTGTCGATCCTCTCTTAGGAGTGGTTTTCAAACTTCGGCGGACGGTGGATACCTGGCCGATAGTGGATTTAAGGCCGCTTTGATAAAGTCCAATAAGTTTGTTGGCGCTGAGCTTTAGTCTAACACACATTGCTCTCCATAAGATTTTATATCCAATACTGACAAAGGAGGACCTTTTTAATATATTGACCAGAGCGCACTTAGGTTCTAACCATCGGGTATGCATTCATCCAACCATATTTTACAAATAAGCGGATACATACACCATGACACTTCTTCATTACCGTTCCATCAGCAATCCAGCTGCCGCCGCCTCTTATTTGTTGTCTTTTAAAGCGACAATTTCAATTCGAAACTTTTTATAGTCGGGTAATCATCTTTTCTACCATCATCGGTGAATCGAGTTCTCCATCTACTGGAGTAACATATTTACCGCCATTCAGCAGTCTGAAGAAGGGTAAGAGTTTCCTCCATAAATTCAGTATACACTGGGTATCAGTCGCTAAATCACCTCGTTGAGTCCAACAAGAGTAGGCTCCTGTCTCCAAACCATCTGTAAGTCTCCGCTCTTTTTCGTAGAATTTTCGAGCATTACCACTAACGGACAGCTTCTCAAGCTTCTGACTCACTGCATTCGCGTCTCGCTTACCTTTCCATATCCCGGCATATATCGAGCCTGCCCGTGTTGTTGGTCTGTCTTACTCCATACCAGCTGATCTTTCGATCATTCTAGAAACCAATAGTCTCGTTCGGAGGCGATCTTTCTTTCGCACCATGAACCGGACACCAAATTTGACTTCCTTTATATGACCGCTAGAGTGACTGTCACATGAACTTACTCGTCTCTGTCCTTGTACCGACTATCGCACCTCTAAGACGGCGATGTCCTTAACGTTAAATTGGAATTCAGAGCAACAATAAATTTCAGTGCTAGAACTTATAGCAGCTTTAATTCCCTCATATTGCTGCTTGGGGTTCATAGACTAAATCAATTTTTTCGGACCCAATCAGCGGGTGCACATTAAGTTTCTTCGCTATTCGTAAGATGACCTCATTGACACTCTCTTATTTTATGTTTCCCACGCGGGATGAGCTTAATGAGGCAACAAGAACATTAGCTGTTTCAGGTAGTCGGTTAAGAATCGGGCCTTGAGAATAAAAAGACCAAATATTTAAAAACACTTAGTACAAAACAAATAATTTTATTTACAAAAGTCAAATTCTCAAATAGAGAAACATTTATGTACAATATATATGAAGGTATGTACATTTTTTTCTTCAAAATTCTCAATTTTTATGCGGCTTAACTGACGAGCCCACACCTTTTTTAATCACTATCAGTTCTTAACCTCAGCACGATCACCGGCAGCTTCACTCCAACTGCTAATTCTTGCAATAATCGGTTCGTGTAGAGCCTTTCGCGCATATCGCGACCATACAAAATCGCCATGATTCCAAGCCGTATAAGGCATTCGGTTCAACTCTGCACACTGTAGGTCTCTACCAAGTCGGCGAACATCCTCCGCCGCGCACATGTAATCTGTTTCACTGTAATAGAGCGAGATGCAGTTTCTTACCGAACTCACATTGTAACTCGGCGGAGAGGGTTGACCATATTGCCGTATATTGCTGTCCACAGTGCCGTAATCAAATTGATTGAAGCCACCAGTGACGTATTGCTGCACATAGTGTAGCACTTGCTTGCTCGAGGCGCCCACCGGCACATTGCCACACATCTTGGTGAGTATATGCTGTTGAAAGAAAGAAGTATTTTATCTCATATTTATTTATTTATTTATAAATATGCTTACCTCATAGTTCTCGCTGGCATCCACGGGTCCACCAAACATGCTAAAGATTTTCAAATAAATTGGTCTGAGCCAAGCACCATCATCACAGAGTACGCTACACATTTGCTTGTGAAAATTCCAACGGGCATGTTGCAGTGTTTCACTATGGCCCCACCATTCTAGAAAACGGCTGAAATAATTGCCAAGCCCACTGATCCAAGCTGTCGGCAATGGCACTTTAATATTTTCCATATAGACGGTGGGCGCTGTAAATTGCATGGATTTAAATTTCTCGGCATACTCGGGACGTGTCGTCAATAATACCAAAGCAACTAGACCACCCTGTGAGTAACCCACATAATGTACCGACTTTTGACCCGTTGCCTCACGCATATAATCAATGGTATTCGCCAGATCATAGTAGCCCATCTCATGCCATGTGAAATTCCAAAAATGCTGTCTATCCCTTTTCGGATCCAAGCTTATGTGCTTGCGTCCATATTCGTTGCCGCGATGATTGCCCAACCAAACGTCGTAACCGGCTTCGGCCAGCAGGTATGGCAGATCATTCTTAGGACCGCGTAACAGCCAAACGTCGGAGGAGAGCGTAAAGCCATGCTGCAGGAGCACGACTTCACTCGTTTTTTTGGGTGGCGTTGTGTTTGCTTTCGTCGCTGCTGGTATACGGTAAATGCTGAGTAGATAGCCATCAGTGGTGGGTACTATATGCTCTTCCACGGGATAGTTGTTCTGCGCTATGCTACGGGGCTGTAAAAAAGGGAATTTGAATATAAGCAAATTATATAACTAAAGGGTATTTTTTGGACAAGTGACCATAATTTGGCTTTTTATAAAGACAAGGGTTTTAAAAATCATATCGGGCAAGAGACCAAGCGCCCGCCGCGTCTGACTCGAATAAATTCCAGCCCGAAAGATCAAACTTTTAAACTACTTTTTGCAGCCTGAGACATGAAGCGCCTCTGGTTTATCTGCGCAGACAAGCGACTTAACATAACTCCGCCACAGCCGTTGTTAGAACCAAAGGTTACCATATCCGGATTCTACTTTTCAGGCACGAAAAAGTCCTTAATCGTGACTCCATTGCGTTCCCCATTGACTATAACATAAAGGCCGGCTTCCTTATTGAAGAAATATGGATCAGTGATTCTCTTAGCCCATAGAGTATACCAAGCAGTGAATTTTTGAGGATGCAATGAAGTCTCAACAATGGCCATTCGACCAATAGTGACCTCCAACGCTGGACAAAATCCGATTGTGGAAATCGGTATCGGTGGCCACCCGGCTCGCAAACTTAAATTCTTTCGCAAAATCTTCCATAGATATACACCGACTCATTCGGGTCTTCTTTCATAATCAGCTTCACAGCAGCAATAGTGTTTTCGGGTTCTCTGCGGATGGGCATTATTCATTAGAGTAAAAGTGATGCGAAACCGATTCATGAATATTGGAAATGGCATGCATGACGGCCGCGGTACTGTCATTCGGATGACCAGGATTCAAATCTAGGTACAACCAACATCTAGAAGTTATAAAAAAATAATTTAAATAATGTTGCAGTCGCCCTTCGACAGGGAATGTCAAACCCGAGTGTATTCCTGTTATGAAATAAAGACCCCTCGTAAAAAACCATCAGCCGTTCGGAAACAGCTTAGTATAGACTGTAGGGCCCTCCACTTGTTGGAAAAAACAGCAACCTGGACCTTTGGTGCTTTTAAATCTTATCTAATAACGTGCACGGTGTAGAGGGCCAAATGTGAAAAATGTCTATAAAATAATGAAAATTGTGGAGCCTGGCCATAATGCCAGCTGAAACGCAAAAAACTCTATCGATTTCTAAAGCAGACCGGTGATGAAAAGTGGATTACTTACAACAACGTCAAATAAAAACGGCAGTGAGCCGGAGCAAACGATCTCTAACCCAGGGCTGTGGGCCAAAAATGTTTTGTTGTAGGTTGGGTGGGACTGGTGAAGTATCATCTACTATGAGCTGCTTCTCTACGACCAAACTCTTAATTCGGACCTTTACTGTTAGCAGTTGGACCGTGTGAAGGAAGCAAATTCTCAGTAGCCTCATCTTTGACTAAAAAGAGCGGAATTGTGTTTCATCAGTAGCTCCGCTAGTAGCTCCGAGAGCTTGGTTGCTAAGTTCTTATGCAACCATCTTATTGTCCGTACTGCGCATCAAGTGATTACCATTCACTTCTGACTATGCCGAATTATTTGGTTAGTAAAGAATTAGCATCAAGAGCAACCTGTGAAAATCGTTTGTCCAATTTTTAGCCAATGAGGACAAGGCTTTCTATGAGAGCAGTAATATGATGAATCGTGCTTTTTCATATCCACAAACTATTACCTCACTTTCCACAGGCTCTGTCACCTGTATATATTAAAAATTAAATTCCCCTTTGTAACCGCTGAAGCGACTTTCGCCCAAGCTGCTCCTCAAATTTGTGTTGTGCGTCTCAATGTTGATGGCGGATCTGCATTTTATTCTAAGCCGCCTCCGATGAGCTTTATGTGCAGCTTTTTATTTCACGTCAGTAATACACTCGGTGAGGAGTTGAGATTTCCTGCCGAGTAGCGACCGCAATTAGAAAAATTAACTTAATTTTTTATTTAAATTAAGTTTCTACAACAATTTTTTGATGTTGGTCGTACCAGTACTCAAACGAACCCTAACGAATGGCAGTAAGCACTGCTCACTGTCAGGAAAATCAGTATTCCAGCACGTACAGACATACATACATAAATATATGAAAGGGAGCAATGAAATGTAATCTGTGAGTGGACTCATTTGAGTATTGATCGTTAGTTGACTTCACTTCAATTAAACTTTATTTTAAAAGCATCATAAAAAATTATGTAATCGCTTAAAACTCAGCTGCAACTTTACCGTAAAATTAGTATCTGTTGACGTGAAGCACCAATTTAGCGCTACAATTAGCACCGCAAACAACAGCAATTGATATATTTCGTTAAATTTTAAAGAGAACTTCATGCTGTCGCCTTTTTTTTTTAATTACATTAATAAAGCCGCGCTCGAAAGAATTTCAATACTCGCTTAACACGCGGCTCAGCACTTTGCCTCCATGCGCGGTTTAAATCTACTAAACTGTAAAATGATTGTATAAAATGAAATAGAACAAATGAATCTTATCACGAAGTCGCGGCATAACAATGAAAACGCTAAATAAGTAATTTTTTAAATATTAATAATGAGGCAAATGCATACATACATTTTTATATGCATACGAGTGTGTACTTAAACTCTTCGTAATTGTGCTGATGTCAGATGTTAAGACACTTGGGTGTCTGCTGTAAAAAACATTTAATAACACGCTTTTTTAAACATTACCCTTACCTGTTGAGTGTTTTTTTTTAAGTCAACAAAATTAAAAAAAAAAAAAATTATTTGCCAAGCTACTCCTACGGCTTTATTTTAAAATTCGTAATTTCTACAAATTTGTATACTTAATTAAATTTCTAAGCTTCACTCAATTCCCTTTCACGTCTGGAGAAAAACGTGTTTGCGCTTTTCAGATGCTTTGCCATTGCACTGTGTCATCACTTGTCTGCTTTCGAATTGCTTCTCCCGCACTTCTAATCACTTTTTCTTTAAATATTGTTATTAATTTACATTATTTGTTTTTGTATGGCTTGATTTCGAGTGCATTAAACTTGTTAACCTTTACGCCTAATCAGCTGTTTTGAGCAACAGTCAATATGCTACATACAGTCGCCAGTTGAAATATTGGCACTGTTGTAAAAAATAATTGGGGGCGATAAATATTTTCTTTATATTTTAATATCTTTATTTTAGGTAATTAAAAAATGATAATAACTGGCAGCCGCGGTAGTCGAGTGGTTAGCATTGTGTACTGCCATTCGGAAGGCCAAAGTTAAAATCCTGGTGCGACCAGCATGCAAAAATTATAAAAATTAAATAAAAAAATAAAATAAATATTCTAATTGCATTCGTCCTTCGGCAGGGAATATCAACCCCTCCGAGTATATTTCTGACATCAAATGAAAGCTCCTCATAAAAAACCCATCAGCCGTTCGGCGGCGGTTTAGCATAAATTGTAGGTCTCTCCAATTGTTGGAAAAATATCAAGACACAAAACCACATATTGGAGGAGGAGCTCAGAAGATTACAAAGCGATAATTGTATATATACTTATATTATATTATATTAAAATTAAAAAATAATTACACAGACTAGCTTTATTAAACACAATGCGGAGATTTTTTTCTTTTTTACTTTGTAAATTTTAGTTTTTTCAATCTATTGGGTTGCCCAAAAAGTAATTGCGGATTTTTTAAAAGAAAGTAAATGCATTTTTAATAAGACTTAGAATGAACTTTAATCAAATATATAATTGGCATTTTGTTCGATATTCTTTTGCCATCTTCCTGGCAAATTTAGTATTCCACGCTCATAGAACTTCTGGCCTTTATCTGCAAAAAACTGAACCAAGTGCGATTTTATAGCCTCATCATTGCCGAAAGTTTTACCATTTAAGGAGTTCGGCAAAGATCGAAATAAATGGTAGTCTGATGGTGCAAGGTCAGGGCTATATGGTGGATGCATCAAAAGTTCCCAGCCAAGCTCACTCAGTTTTTGGCGAGTGACCAAAGATGTGTGCGGTCTAGCGTTGTCCTGGTGGAATATGACCCCTTTACGATTGACAAATTCTGATCGCTTCTCCTTGATGGCTGTATTCAATTTGTCCAATTGTTGACAGTAAACATCCGAATTAGTTGTTTGGTTCCTTGGAAGCAGCTCAAAATATACGACACCCTTCCAATCCCACCAAACAGACAGCATAACCTTCTTTTGGTGGATATCAGCCTTTGAAGTGGTTTGAGTTGGTTCACCATGCTTGGACCATGATCGTTTTCGACTAACGTTGTTGTAAACAATCCATTTTTCATCTCCAGTTATGATTCGTTTGTATTGACAAATACACAACAAATCATTTCTAGCCATCAATCCTAAATTGGATGCCGGCTCACTGACCTTCAACTACGACCGTTTTCGTTTGAACCCCGGCGGGTCAGGGGTTTAAGAATTAACACGCGGTAAGACATGCCTGTCATAAGAGGCGACTAAGATCCAATAGTTTCCGGGTCAGTCGGGTCTTTATACCCCAACGACCCGGATTTTTATCCGGTCAAGGACTGGCACTCACGCAACATTCCCAAAAAAGTACTTTAGGGAATATTTTTGCGGTTTCAACAACAACAACAACAACAACATCAATCGTTTTTGTTTGATTTTGCCAGAAGTCATGAACTGTTCGTTACAAGTCACTATCTGCTTTGTAAAATGTAACGTACTTTCTCTTTCTCGTTTTCATCTATGACACCTAAGAGTTCAATATTCTAGTTTTCAGTACAAAATGTCATCTTTCAAAGGTCGTCTTGCATAATTCCATCGCACTTATAGAAGGCAAGATGCAGAGCACTAAAACCATTTGTTGCAAAAATAATGGATTACTTCTGCCTGGACCATTATATTGGTCGTTTCATCTTATGGCGTAATATTTTGTAGACAAAAATTGCCTGCATTACCTTTAGAAAATAAATTTTTAAACAGCAATTATGAAAAAATTACTATCAAAATTTCTCTGAATTGGCATTTATTTCATTTTTTTCTAATTTTCTACTTAATTATTCTAATGCAAACGGAATTTGAAAAAAGTTTGGTATCAAAAGTTTAATAAACTTTTCCAATTGTGCTAAATTGTTGCATTTTTTCAGAGATTGGCGTACAAAATATATATGTCTGATTGGACTAAAATTGTATGGGTTGCTCTTGTTGCTCCTCACGCATTTACCGCATATATTATAATATTTGAACCCACTACTGTATTTGTTTTACATTGATGCCTATAGGCAACTAATTTATAATGCGAAGCATAACTTGCTGTAATTTTAGTAGGTCATATACATACATATGTTTGTACGTATGTTTAATAATATTTTAATATATAAAAATATATACGAGTATAAGCAGCGATCGAAGGCGCTTATCAAGCAGTGCTTAGTTTTAAATTATATTAATGTGTACACATGTACATGCATATAATATATATAATTAAGTACATATCGATGCTCGTATGTGTCTGCATTAATGCATTTGCTTAGCAATCGTTGTATAAAGCTGATAAATAGCCGGCTTTAAAACGAATTTTCTTTCAAAAATAAGCCTAAAAATATGCTAAGGTTACTGAACAAACATTTAAAATTTGCTGAAATATTTTATATTTAGCCAACACTGTACACGTTGTAAGCGTCTGTCGAAGATAACCTAGCAAGCTAAAGTAAGAGAATTATTGAGCAGAAACCTTAAGACCTTCAATAATTCAACATATGTTAGAATTTCCTTACTCATTGTCCTTAGCAGTGTTGCGGGACATTTTTGAGCGATCGCACTAAATGCATTAAAAACAGCGAAAATTACATTTGAAAAAAGAAAATATATAAAATTTTTCTTCTTAATGTTATAAAAGAAATACTGAAAAACAAAATATATATATCTTGCATCTAAAAATGTATGATAATTCGTACTCTCATATCGTAGCTCATAAGGAATTGTCGTTTCTAAAAGTAAATCGCACAATTTCCCCAAATACTCCTTTTTTGAAAAAAATTTTGGTCAAGTAAGAAGTTAGTTCGGGGTTTATCTACAAGATGGCGTTATTGTCCATAGTACTAGTGTTACGTGTCACATTATATCATACCATACGGCGCTCAAAACGTGTTTGATCGCTCTAAAAGTTTGTCTTTGACAGTCTTTCGATTGATTGACTCAATACGTTTTGAGCGCTCGTCAAAGATGGACACCAGCAAGGAAAAACTTCGATAAATTTTACAAATTTTCTTCGATCAAGACGAAAGAGCAGCAAAACCGGCTGAAAAAATTCATTTAGCTCATGAGCCCGATACTGTAAAGGAACGGGAAGCACAAAAGTGGTTCGCTAGGTTCCGTTCAGTTAATTTCGATGTCAAAGATGCACCACGTGTCGGGAAGCGTGTCATCGAAAATTGCAATCAAATCATGGTAATAGTGGAAACTGAGCGTCACGTGAGCACTTATTTAATTGCTGAGGAACTAAAGATAAGCCAGAAACCCGTTTGGAACCATTTGCTTAACCTTGGATTCAAAAAGAAGTTCGATGGTGACACACGAACTACCGCAAAAAAACGTGATAGACCGAATTTCCATCTGCAAATCTCTGCTGAATCGCAACAAAATCGACCCGTTTCTGACAACATCGAACGCAAACGGTCGTGGTCAAAGCTCGGGGAAGCGGTCCAGACGGTGCCCAAGACCGGATTGACAGCCAGGAATGTTTTTCTGTGTGTTTGGTGGGATTGGCATGGAATCATCTACTACGAGCTGCTCCGCTATGGCTCAATTCGGCCCTCTACTGCAGCACTAATCCAGAAGAGGCCATCTTTGATCAACAGAGGCCGAATTGTCTTCCATCAGGACAAGGCTAGGCCACACACATCTTTAGTGATCTGCCAGAAGCTCCAAGAGCTCGGATGGGAGGTTCCAATGCACCCACCTTATAGTCTGGACCTGGCACCAAGGTCTTACTATCTTTTCCTGTCCATGGCGAACGCGTTTAATAGTGAGAAGTTGGCTTCAAATAAGGTCTGTGAAAATTGGCTCTCCGATCTTTTTCCCAATAGGGACGCAGCCTTCTACGAGAGGGGTATAATGAAGTTGGCATCTCAAAGTTAACGAACAAGACGGCTTACATCAGACAAATATACACAAAGTTATAATATTTTGAGAATTCAATAAAAAAAACAGAACGAACTTTTTACTAGACCTAATATTTTTTGTCATCTCGACAAGTCGTAGATAACTTCTTCTATCTGGGAACTATTCAAACATCTTGACCTAACTTGAAGATGTCTCATAGCCAGATATCCTATACTTCCCAAAACATTTGACGTCTTTTATGTCGACTACAACAGCCCAAGCTAGGCTGAATCTCCAACTGTCCCTACAAAATACCAAAATATCTATGAGAAGCGTTTATACTGCCCTAACCTCGAGCATCTATTGTATCTCGACGAACCGAATAGCCGAG